ATAATCTAATATATTTGGCAGTTGGTCGTGTAGAATATTTAAGCCAACTCATTCGGGTTGAAGCACCTCCATTACCTTCTGAAATTGCCCAAGAGATTGAGATGGCAAAAAAGAAAAAATAGCTAGAACACGAATTGAGACCATCTATTCAGGAAAAACTTATAGGATATATGGGCCAGGATAAAGAAAAAGGCCATGAATTTGATTTAACAGTCGCCTATATCCTTACATTAAAACATATTCAAGAAGACAAATGCGCATTATGTCTTATTGAAATGAAATTCGAATGGGATCGGCCAGGAGATATATCCCAGTAGACAGTAGATCGAATCCATAATAGTTTAGGGCATATTAAAGAAAACATACACCTTACTTGTCTTCTTTGCAACCGAAATCATAGAGTCTAGATCATGGCAGTGATCCAGATACTTACATAGCTATTATATATTATTTTTTTCTTTAAAATAAAAAATATTTGCAAAATATTTTTCAAACTTGAAAAGTTGAAATATAAAATTAAGATACCATGTGAAATTCTTATTAAATAAAAGTCTTAGTTAATAAAATCCATGTGTTTGAAATATAAACATGTCTAATATTCAAGATATTTTTGAGGAATGGGAAAAAAATAATTATACCTGATACATGTTATCTGAATATAGTTTAAACTATATCAATAATCTAAAAACACCAGAAGTATGGTTATGATTTGTAAAGTATCATCCACCTGAATATATATGAAGACATTTATTAATACTAGAATATGATATTAATAGAAAAGTTCATTGGAGAAACTTTGTATTTTGTATTAAAAATAATTTAACCAGAAATGAATTCATAGCCAATAACTCTGAATTTAGAGAATTTAAAACCCAAGTAACATATTTCTTAACTTTGTATATAAAACTCGATCGGTAATTATCATCTAGCGAGCATATCGTTTATAGAAAAAACAAATAAATTTGGCCAAAATAATTCAGCGTGCAGTGAGGAAATAGTTTTATCGACCAGGTGGCATATTAATAAAATGTACCCAAGATCGGTATTATCAAAATGCTAATAAACTTGAAAATTTGAGATAACTGGGAAGACTTTTGCTAACCCATATTAAAAATTTACTTGAGCAGTCCGATCTAACTAGTCCAGGATACTGATCAGTAATTCGAAAGATTTTTTGCTTAGCTACATATACCACTAGTGTTTTATTTTTTTCTGATTAAAAATTTTCAAATCATATAAAATGCATACAGTTAATTCCACAATCAATGAGTAATTAATCTATCAACTTTTTTCCCGAAGGTTCTGGCATATTACACCTATTACAAATCTTTAAATTAGCATTACGCAAGTCAATCTGATGCCTCTGATGTTAAAACGAAACAAGAATGGAAATTATGCTAGCGATTTACAGATCTGATTCTACAGGCACTATAGCATCATCCATTCTATATAATAAAATTCTATTATGGGTTATTGTTAGATTTTATAGATATAAATTGAGGTTAAAAATGATATATAGTTATGTAAAAAATGAGTGCGATCCCTATACTAATTAATTCATGAATGAACAGATCGCCAAGCCTGAAATTGTTTTTTTAAAATCTGCAAATTAGGTTTGTTAGTCGTGAAGAATAAACTATAAAAATAAGCAAACTATAAGGGATTTCGTTATGTAAAACTTATCTGGTTATAATTGAAATATGTCTACCTTTTCTATTTCTGCACCATCTACTCCTATTAATAATATCAAAAATCTTGCATATAGTATTTTAAAAACTCTAAAGGATAGCATTGTTAATAATAAAAAAATTCCAAATCTAAGTAATTGTTCAGAATGTGGGAAAGAAATTATTTCATATTCTCTTAAGGCATTTACAATACTATCTTGTGGACATGTGTTTTATAGACTTTGTATTGAAAAAAAACTTTTACTTACAATTTCAAATACATGTCCATTTTCTGGTTGTAGTGAGAAGGTTGAAATTATTGAAACAGGGCATA